GCCTGCCAGTGCGGCACCACCCCCGGTGCCAAGCTGCGGAGGAGAATGGCTGGTACATGCCGATCTCCTCTACCGGCCAAGGACGTCGTACCACTCGCATCTGCTTGCTCGGATGCGAGGGGCTGAGGACGCTATGTGCTGGCCGGTAGCCAAGGAGATACAGGGCCCATGGCTGTATCGCTCTGCCTCTAGTCACGCTGGTAGGAGCTGATACAAGGTGCTGCTTTCGGCAAAGCCCACCAAACCCCGGGGTGCCGCCGGATGGAGAGCAGCTGGCATTTGAGCAGATGGTGCCTCCTCCGCGCCTGGCACGCATGCACCATCCCTGCACGTGCTGCCTGCGTGCAAGGGCTCCAGCTCCTGCTTGCCCAGGCTGGCCCTCGAAGAAGCCCAGGGAAGTCTAGGCCACAGTGACAGCCCTTAGCCTACCTCTAGCACCTATCACATAAAAATCAAACAGCGCTTTCCAACCACGAGGGCGTTAAACCCCGGGATTCCCACGTCAGTGTTTCAAGGACTTGAATGGGGGGAGGCCAGAGCAGCTCCTCCGAGGCTGCACAGGGGTAAATCAGGACTAGATCCCAGGAGTCCTGACCCCCAGTCCCCGTCTTGACCCACTCCCTCCAGGCTCTCGGAAATAATCCTTGCATTTCTCCATCTGTCTGTAACCTGAGCATCTCCAAGCCACTGGTAAACACTAGCTCTGCGTCCCAGCACACCTGGGCAGCCGGTAAATATTATTATGGTACACAAGAGGAGGCAGAATGACCTGCCCAAGGTCACGCAGACAGTCAGTGGCGGCACCAGGAATACAGGGTGCCGTGTTCGGGCAGCCAGGTGCCCGCAGGTATCGGAGCCGCCTGCTCAGCGTGCCCGTTTCTTCCTCCCTTGCAGCTGGCGGCAGACGGGACCGTCATGAACACCTTCACCCACAAGTGCCAGCTGCCCGAAGATGTGGACCCCACTTCTGTCACCTCTGCCCTGGGCCCCGACGGCACCCTCACCATCAAAGCCAGGCGGCACCCAGCCAAGCACACAGAGCACGTGCAACAGACCTTCCGGACTGAGATCAAAATCTGAGAGGCAGGGGCAGGGGCAGGGGCAGGGGCAAGGGCGGGAGGGAGCAGCCAGCCCGGGGCATCCCTTTAAAGAGCAGCTGGGTTTTCACACCAAGCCCCAACAAAGCGAGTGGGCCAGACTCTGATCTCAGTTACAAAATCCTGGGGGCCAGATCCTGAGCTGGGGTGAATCAGTGATTTCCCCATTGCATTTGACTGCAAGCGGTGGCGCAGCTTTGCTCCAGGTGAGGATCTGGCCCGGGGCCATCATGGACCTCCCTGCTATCACACCAGCATCACTGAGATCGGAGCTGGGCCCAGTGGGTCCTACAGAGGCAGCTGAGAGGAGATTTTAGCCCGCACTAGGTATTTGGATGCTCATAAGATGCAAAACCCTCCTTGGCTAGTAGGTGGTGCAGGCTGCACCATGTAGGAAAGGCCGTTTCCCGCAGGGATGCTGTGAGCTCTCCAAACAGGCCTTTGCTGCTGTGAGGTTTTCATAGTGACCCCGTACGGGGAGATCCAGGCAGACGCACGTGCCGCGTCTGCATAGTTGTGTTAGTCTTTGATTCCTTTAAAAGCAGAAACTCGCTGGGCCTGATCCATACTGGCCCCCGCTGGAAGCCCCATTGACTCCCATGGAATTATTCCTGATTTACCCCCACGCAGGAGGGAGAACCAGGAGCGCTGACTTCCAAGGAGGACTTGGTCCCGTAGGACGGACTCATTGGTTTCAGCCAACGCCAGAGCTCCCTCAGAGGGAGACAGGAGCAAAATCACTTCCATGCATAAAAGCTCTTGGCATGTCCCAGGAGGTATCAGCTGCTCTTTAAGGGGCAATCCCATGGGACCGGGAGGATGGACAGGGCAAATGGACAGGACATCACCCTCCTTCATTGCTGCTCAGGCCAGGTCTTTAGCCAGAGGGAGCCCAGTCCAGGTGGGTTGGCGCTGAGATCACAACAGGGGCAGGGGTGCAGCAATGCCCTGTGTCCAAAAAGCACTGAGCGCCACACTCGTCTGGCTGAGCCTCGGGGTAAATCTAGCCCAGTATGAACATAGCGTAGACCCGGCCCTGCCTCCAACCCCCTTGGGAACCGAGCTCCATCAAAACATAAGCAGCTGTGGAAGCTGGCAGCTTAGCCAGATCCACAAAGGGAATGGGCACAGTCTTGAAAGAAAGGGGCATCGGTCTCTAATGAGCAGGGGAGAGAGGGGCACGGCCTCTGCATCAGAACTGAAATGCTGGAGGCTGCAAGGGAGAGAGGACAGGGGAAAAACCCTGCTCTGATCCAGCTCACTCTCCCTCTCAGCCTCCGCTCTCTGACGCTGAGACCAGGCAAGGTCTGACCCAGTCCACAGCCGTCCTGATGCTCTTTTCTTGCGTTCTTCTGAGTCTGTCCGTAACCCATAGAGCAAGCGCTGGGAAAGGATCATTCCCCTCCATGCAGTCCTACATAGAGAGGCCCATGCTCCTGCCACCTGACGGGGTAAAAGCAGGGGCAGAACCTGCCCTAGCAGCCAAGTCATCCCCCGTCGTGGTGCAGGCAAGGTGAGGCTGACCCTATCTGGAGGGGCAGACCCAGAGGCAGCAGCAGGCAGGAGGGCAAGCAAGTGAATCTTTCACCCATGCACAAGTTGAAGGAGGGCCCCGGGCTGAGCACATAAGGCTCCAGCAGCTGCAGGGACGGGAGAAGGCAGGGGCTGCGTCTCCCGCTGCGGTTCTCTTTGTACATAGCTCGTATCTGGTTTGTTATAAATTATTGATCACCCCGGCGGCTGCCTCCTCTCGCTTTGTGCCTGCGCTGCTGCTACCGCTTCTTCTCCGCGGGCCTGAGCTGTCGGCGTGCAGCGAGCCCAGGAGGGCTTCTCCTCCCCACCGCTGCCCGGTGGGTCCTGCACCCAGCTGTCACAGACAGACAACAGTCTTTGCATAGATGTGATATCTTTATTAGACCAACTAAATAGTTAGAAAAATTGTTCTTTGCTAGCTTTAGGGCACAAACACCCTTCTTCAGGCCGAGGGAGAGTCTGTTGGTGTTTGTAGGCAGTCAGGGAAGCACCTGCAAGGCTGGCAGCTCAGCATGGTGGGAGGCCGCATCACCCACAGCCCAGGCTCTGCTACTCGCTAGCTGACATGCAATGAGTTGGAGGAGCCTCAGCTAGCCGGCACCGTGCCTTGCAGAAATGGTGCTAACGGGTGCCTTCTGGGATGCTCCAAGGTGGACGTCTCCACAAGGCTGTCCTCCCAGCTGCAGGCTGCACCAGCCGGGCAGAGAATTGCCACCTCATTGCCCTTGTGGCCTTGTGTCCATAGGTTTATTTCCAGCCCGGGTGACTCACTTCTTCCCCGTCGGTCTATTTGTGAGCCCTGCACCTCAGCTGTTCCAGTCGCTGGGACACGGGCCCCTGGGAGACAGGAAGGTCAAAGCCCACCCACCCTGACACCCCAGAGAGACCCCGGCTCTGCTGTGGGGTGGGCAGGGAGGGAGGAAAACCAACCCCTGCTACGGCCGCAAGCTGCCTGCCGCGTGCTCTCTGGGCAGAGATGCCATGCACGGAGGCTGCTTCCACGTGCAGATCCTTCCTCTGCCCCGCTCGGCACGTGATACCTGCTGACTCCGCTCCCTGGTGTCCTGCACCCCCCTCCACCCCGTTGTGTGTGCCGGACATTTCCCTGCACGATGCTCCAGGATGAAACAGGGAAGCTTGGCCAGGCACTGCCTTTCTTCTCGGTCAAAGGGGCCTGGCTGCCGGGGGTCTCCGCTTGATGCAAAAACACTGCCAAACCCACCCTCTTCCACCTGCCCAGCTCTCTGCCACTAATCCTTCGCCCTGACAGCTCTCAGTGGGCTCCTATGGATGTGCCCTCTGATTTCAGGATCGGTGCCCATTCCCTGCAGGACCCAGCACACCACCAACTCCAGGGCAGAGCTGGGAGTGCTGGAAGCAGCAGCAAAACTGAGGCACGGTGAGGATGCAGAGAGCACGAAGCACCACCGGCCACGGAGCCGGCCCTCCCCGAGCGAGAGCTGAGCTCCAAGCGAGCTTGCCGTGGGTGAGAAAGAAGATAAACAATTCGCCGGCCTCTGCAGGCGCCAAGCCTCCCAGGAGCGCTTTGTGGGTCAGGCCATGTAGGGGAAAGGAGGCCACGAGAAAGCTGTCAGCCTTATTTATCATGCCTGGGGCTGGGCCGGCTCCCAGGAGGGCTCTGTCGGGAGAGACGGGGCCCTGGGCTCCCAGATGGGACGGACGAGAGGGGAAAGCGAGGCGCGACGCCCAGCCCAGCCGCAGGGACTAGGAAACAGAGATGCCCCAAGGGCATGGCTGGCCACGTGGGCAGACGCGAGACTGGCCCCAGGGGACCACGGGGCCCGGCTCACTGCCACAGAGGCTTCACAGTGAGCAGGACTTTGCTGGGAGGCAGTGAGGGACGGGGAATGAACCAGCCCCGGGCTGGAGGAACAGAGTCCTCTCTCGGACCGAACCGGGTTTCGGTCACAAGTGCAACGAGTTTGGCTGTGCTCCTCGGTCCCCGTCTCTGGCTGCATCCTGTATCCTGCCCAGCTCTGGCCTGGAGAGAAACCCCTGACGGCTAAGAGCAGGGCTGCTCAACCTTGTGAGACGTGGGACCCCCCTCGGAAAATGCCGGCTCTCGGCTTTCCCTCGTTTCTCGACTATGGAAAAATACTGGAGTGATTCTTCCAGTGCAAAGAGCTCAGAGAGAGAGACCCTAGCAGGGCGATGCTACCGATTCCTAGCTGAAATCCCCAGGTCCGCCTTGCAAATCCCGTGTAGGTGTTTGCACGCCGCACGGTGCCGATCCTGTGCAGCCCCACGGAAAAGGATCTCGTGGCCCCCAGTGCATTGTGGCCCCTGGTTGAGGGACCTGCAAAGAGGCAAGGTCCCTCTCAGTAGCCCAGGCAGCCTGTGGCCTCTTTAAGAAGACCAGTGACCCATCCCTGCCTACCTAGGAAGCTGATTTTGTGCTGCAAATCCTCCTCCAAGGGAGACAGGAGCTGGGCAAGGTTTGTGATCAAGTCACACAGCATTGGACAGGGAGCAGAAAGCAGAGCAGCAGCTCAGGCAGGGGAAGGGGATGAGACTGGCACTCGGGAAGGATGCGGGGCTAATTTTTGGCCCGCCTGCCCAAAATGGTTGGTGCCCGCTGCTGTAATCCCCAAGGCGCAGCGCTGTCCACCCAGACACGGGGCCAGCTTCTGGTTCGGCGTCCACGGCGGTAAATCAGGAACGGTGTTACTGAGGTCTGTGAAGTCATGCCAGCGTAAAACAGGAGGGAGGTTGCAAGTAACCTGTGCGTCTAGCCAAGGTGAAGTCTGGGGCCTTCCTCTCCGCGCACGTCCCCTCGAAAGTCCGTCACGGGGAGCCGAGCCGGCAGCATCCATTCCCCCTCCCTCCTCCATAAATCAGCCCGGCCTTGTCGGCTCGACTGCAGAGAGACAAGAGCATTTTGTTCTCTGGCTGTGCCCTCCTGGATGCTAGCACAACGCCGCGGGGAGCCGCCTGCTCGCCGCTCGGGGCTGCGTGCCCTGCAAACTGCCCACCAGCCTGACGGGAGGAACAAGGGGTTATCCCAGCAACCGCCACCTGACTTGTGTCACCACCTGGTCGGCAGGTGAGCAAGGCCAGGGCAAGTGTGACCCCGGAAAGGTCACTCAAGGGCACAGGGGATGCACACACAAAGAGACGGGGGCTTTATTACGAGCTCGCCTGGCACAGTCCGAGTAACCGTGGTCTTCACATCGGCTGCCAGCACACATCCCAGGAGATGCTCTCCAGCCAGCCAGGCTCTGTTCCCCCCACTATAAGCCCTATGATCCCAAGATCCATCCCCAGCAATCAGCAGGCCCGTTGGCCATGCATCCTGCCTTGGCCCTCCATAGATATCATAGATGTTAGGGCTGGAACGGACCTCATGAGATCATATCTAGATGCCACCATGTGCTCAAGTAATATAGCACCTGGTGAAGTTTGGCCTGGGGCTAAGGAGAGCACGTCAGGCCCTGGAGCTGCACGAATTCCCCAGTCTCAAACCCTCAAGATGAAGGGAAATCCCTCTGACCCCTCATCACGGCCTTCCTGGCCACATCATGTCCTCTTGGGATGACGGTGACAGCCAGACAGCCATGGACATGACATTGGGGTGTTGAGTAGGAAGAGCCAATGTGCCAGAGCCAGGCACGGCCAAGGCTAAGGGTTATTAGCTTGGTACCAGGGTCATCCCTTGCATGAGACTGTGCAATGTAAACCCTGCATCTCCTGCTCCTCTCCAGCCATGCACAGAGCCCCCGTGACCTCCCCTGCAACACGACGCGGTCCCGGGTGACCCTGTCTGACAAGGGGAAAGGCGGAGGCTCTTGCATCAGGCCCTGGATTGACTCCAGGGGGTGAGGAATGGCTGGGATTAATAAGGAGCTGTGTGTATAAACAGTGCAAGGGGCCTGTATTTTGTCCTGGCTGGAAGCTGTTTATAGTTACCACAAGCTTGGGAGGCCTGAAGGGTTGTTTGCAAAGCTCTCTGCTGAGCTCAGAGGTCATTGTGTCCTCTCCTGTGATGGAAAAAGGAGGCAGGTCTCAGGAGGGGACAGGGAAGGAGGTAGCTGGGCAGTGACGCACACAGGAGCTGGGAGGGACCCTTGCTAGTTTGGGATCGTTGTTGAATTAAATGCATATGTCACCGGTTGGCTCACACCCGGGCACACGATGCCAAGGGATGATGCTCTGCCACATGTCTGCTAGAGGGTCCTGCCCAGCTGTACCGGGGCTGCACGCGCAGGCGGTCTCTGTCCGGTAGCGGTGATGCTCTAGGACACAACTCACGGCCCTACGCCCTGCCTTATGGGGCTGGTTCCCATCACGCTATAGGGGAGGGAGGCTGCAGTCCCCTCTGCATCGTGGTACCTGCATGCTGGGCATGCCCTGGTCACCTTCCCGGTGTATACTTAGCACTTGACTCCCATGGGTGCCCTAAGCACCCATGGCTGCAGCCTCCAGCTGGGTTTTTGGGGCACGGCACCGGCTGCAGCCAACCCTCAACCCCTTCGCAGCTGCCTTTTGATGCCTGCCAAAGGATTTGGAAGCATGTGACGCCCCAGGCTGGGGTGAAGGATGCTTGCTGGTAGCAGGGCCACACAGGGTTCCTGAATGATTCAAATAGATTTGGACCTGATCAGGCTAATTTGACCTGGGACATGAAAAATTTTCCTTAAAAAAAGCTGTCCTTTTGCCAACTGGGCACCAGCTGGGAAAGCAAATACATCACCCAAGCAGCAGTGGCCCTCCAATGCTTGGTAAAGCAGTACCATCTAGTGGCAGCGGGCCCGCAGCACATGGAGACCCCTCGGGGAAACAAGCAGAGCATCTGGCAGGTTTTTTACTGAGAGGATCTACAGAGCCCTCGGCATCGCCGGGTTTCATAGCACCAGAGAAGGAGGAGATCAGTGCTGCTATCTGGTAAACTGAGGCAGAGGTTAACCTCCCAGCAGGCCTACTGGGGACTTTTCCCCACCAGGGACATGCACGTGACCATGATCTTCATTTAAACCTTATTTCTGTGAGTCGCCTCTAGTCCTTCCCCATTCCCCGCTCGCCAGCATTGCACCAGGTGCCACCTGCCCCTCCTTCCTGTGCCACGCTCGGGCAGCTGACTTCACGGGAGAGCCAGCTCCAAGGCCCTGTCAGGCCCAGCTCTCAGCCACCCATCCCATCCCGAGATAAAAGCAAACTACAAGCAGTTCCCACACCAGCAGATGCCTCTGATCTCGGCTGTGATGGGAGCAGTGACATCTCCAGAGCATCTTCACCTGATGGGGCCAAGTCTTCCAAGAGGGAAACCAACCTTAGGGCAAGCATAATCCAGCCTCTCATTACATCCACCAGCCCTTTGGCAAGAAAATAGCTGCTACAGTGCTGCAACGCGCAGTTATGTATGCTTCACGCCAGAGCTGGACGCATTTTCTTGGCAGGGCACTTTAGGATCATTTGCAAAAAGCAAGGGATTTTTGTGGGTGGTCTCTTTTATTGGGCCAACTGCCCAGGTGGGATAAAGTTAGACCAACTTTTGCAGGCAAGGCATTCTTCATTGGGTCAGAGCGAAGAAGCAGGAACAGCGATGGTTAAAAACAGTGCGTAGAGCTGAGAAACTGGAGGGAGTAGGAGTTCATTCCTGTGCATCATTTCTGTCTAGTTGCACCCACGCAGTTCCCGCGAGGGCATTGGGTGCATTGGACCAGATACATCTCAGGCAGGGAAGGGCATGTGTGGGATCCAGTGGGTTCCTTGCAGGGGGTGTTGATTGCTGTCAATCTTATAAGAGGCTGGGGGATCTTTCAGGGTGCAAGACATCAAGATACAAACTGTTTTGCGGGCCGGTCTGGGAAACGATCTTCCTGCATTTGCTGGTAACATAAGAGCTGCCATCCTGAAATGCAGCGATGCCCTGTCTAACCCGTGCAGTGAGGGGATGCTCCTGTCACCAGCTGGGTGATCAGTCCATGAAGCCCAGAGACCCGTGGCCCTTGCCACTTCATCCTATGGCACGTAACCAGTAGCTGCTACTCTTGGTGATGGAAGGGCCTGATCCTTTCTTTGCTTTGACCATGAGCTGTGCTATGACAGCTCAGAGACGAAGGCACAGGCAGCCTAGGGCAGTGGTTAGAGCAGGTTTTGGGCAGAACCAGAACTGGAAGCAGAGGGGAAGCTAAAATCAAAGTAGACCTTAGAGGCGAAGGCCAGGGTGAACTGTATGTCTCCCATTAGAAATGCATGCCCTTTTCCCCGTTGCCTGGACAAAAACAAGGGGCTGGCCCAATGATGCATGCAAACAGGGCCTTCAGAAACCTTTTCCCCAGGCACCGAGCAGAGCCCTGCAGCGACCTGGACTTGGACATCCGCGGTGCATTGCTAACCATAGAAGAACTCTTTAGACAGGGCCGGTGTGGTGGGACTGGACCCTTGAAGGATTCAGATGCCTCCAGAGAGGCCTGGCTACACTGCTGGGAGGAAGACGAGACTTGCTCTTGGGCACAGGCTCCAGCCTCCTCCTCGCTTGCTCTGCTCCGAATGCCTGGGAGGGCAGACAAGGACGGGTCCCAGCAGAAGACCAGGTAGGTCACCATCTGTGGTGGGGCAGGTGGGGGGCTTGGAGGGCGTCTGCAGGTTTCACCATCCTGAGGATGTGTGTCCAAAAGTTGCCTTCTGCCATTGGCGCAGCTCACGAGGAAGGTCAGGTGCATGATAGGTCTGGCGCTCTCGTTTTTCACTCTGCCTCCAGCACTTTTCCAGAGGGAAAAACCAACCTAAATAAAAAAGGGGTGGAAATGAGCACGGAAAGCAATGGGGCTTCTGACTTGCAGCTCCCACCGAGGAAGCTGGAGCAGATGATCTGTGAAAGGGGAGGACAAAACAGACCAGAGATGCCTTCATCCTGGACTTGACAAGGCCAAAAAGCAGACCAAGTCACAGCTCTCAGAGAGCTAGCACCTTCCCTCACAGCTCAAAGCACTTCATGCATATCCATTGCTGAACAGTAGAGGACCCAGGGCAACTGCACGGTGTCTCCATTTCACAGGGGGGAAACTGAGGCACAGAGCAAAGAAGGGACCTACCAATGGTCTCTTGGGGAACTAATGAAGTCGAGAGCATGGACTCCCAGTCCCCTGGCTCCACTGGGCACTAGAATAAGGGCGAGAAACCACTACCCTTCTATGCCAAGCCTAACAAGTGAGCCGTTAGGATCACGACCGAGTTAGGGCGACACTGAAATACAACTGATTCCTACTAACACAAGAGCCCACAAAGCCTTGCAATGTCAGTTAAAATCCTATGAGATATAAAAGCACTCTCCTCTGCGGGCAAGCCGGGTGCTGCGCACGTACTTTGCAAGCAGGAAGATACGTGCTAGCCTGGAGTCCCCCGGCTGCGTCCTGCATCTCCTGAGTGCAAAGGAGAGCCTGCGTGTGCAGCACGTCTGTTGGCATGGCCAACGGGCCCATGTTCCCTGCAGAGGGTGTGTGTTAGAAACGGGGCAAAAGTGCCATCCCTCGAGGGCAGGGAGACTGCTCAGCGCACAAAGAAGTTCCTCTCCAGCAGGTTTAACAGCGCCCAGCACTTTGTCCTTGTTAGAGCACTACATCGACAGCACCGAACTAACCCTCACAGCCCCAGTGGGTTAGCACTGTTACCTGTTTTTTACAGACAGGGAAACTGAGGCACAGAGGGGAAAAGACATCCTATCAGGAGCCAGCGGCAAAGCCGGGGTTAGTATCCAGGAGTTGCTAGCAACCTGCGCTGAGCTCCAACCACTGAGCCAAGCTGCCCTTCTGCACTGAGAGGTGAGGAAATGTGTTTCTCTGACTTTAAACGGGTCAGAAGCTCAGAGCAAACACAGCCGCAGCTACTGCCTCACAACCAAATTAATTAAGTCTTCCCTTTGGGTGCACTGTTCTCCCTTTCCAGCTTTGGCTGCAACTGCAAGGAACTGAAGACTTTCACCTTCTGGAACAAGAGATGGCCCTGAGCAGGCCTGATCCTGCCATTTCATACCTCCAAACTCCCCCGCTGACGTCAGTACAAGAAATTCAAGGCTCAGGCTCTTCACCCGACCACGGGAGTCACCCAGTTCCACGCGCCCGGCAGAGCCGACAGCAAGAAGAGCATGTTGCCCCGTCTCCTACCTGGCCTGGCTCAGGAGGAGGATTTCAAGCATGTGGTTTCACATATGCTCCTTCTTCCTTCCAGACGTCTCAGAAGATGCCCCTCTCCCTGCACTTACATAGCAGCTGGCCGTGGGCATCTGACTGCAAGATGTGGCTCATGCACAACAGAGCATGTTCCCAGCCCCATCGGCATCAGTCCAAAGACACTTTAATGAAAGCTGAGAACCAGCCCGTGGCGGTTTAAGGTTATCAACATGTTTAGCATGTCCTAAGCCTCAAAACAAAGCCCAGCCACTGGCACGGCAGCCTGGCTGTCACTTGGCCACTGTCCCACCAGCAGCCCAGCCCTCCTTAGGATTAGGCAAGCTGTGAGGGGAAGGCAAAGCTTTTGGAGAACTTGATGTATTTGGGGGAACATTGCATCCTGTCCCTTGCACCCCGCAGCACAGACACAGTGTCTGCAAGGCCTCGCTGGGGATGAATTAAATCATGGGCTTTGCAGGTGACTAGAAGTGATGCCGGAGAGGTTAGTAACTGCACGTTGTTAGTACTCTGGTAGCTGTGGCTGCAGCATCTCTGGTTGGGATCTGAGACAGTAGCTCGTTTCTATCCTTAGCAGGGGGTTGGATGAAATGACCTTTCAGGGCCCCTTCCCACTCTATTCTCCATGATCAAGGCTTGCCAGGGTTTAGAATCACAAAATCATAGAAAATGAGGGTTGGAAGGGACCTCAGGAGTCCAACCCAGCAGGACCAGCCCCACCTAAATCATCCCAGCCAGCCCTTAAACCCCCAAGGATGGAGACTCCACCACTTCTCTGGGTAAAATATGATGAAAGTGGAGCAATATCTTTCACCGGTAACATCTGCAGACTGAGCTGATCACTTGAAAGCAGACAAGCGCGCACACACGTCCACACAGCACGCTGGCCATGCCTCTTTAGGTGAAGATATTTAAACCATGAGGATGTAGGTGTTTCCAATCAAGTTCAGACCCTGCGTTGCATGGGTTGGCCATGGTCTAGTCTCCGTTCTGTTTGGCTGAATTTGCCACCCTGTACTGCTCTCGCCCCAGACCCAATAGCCTAATTACTCCCTGAAAATAATGGTGTGACACCTGCCAGGAACTCTGCACCTCTTGCTTGGTTCTCCTTGAAGAAGGCAGGATGGGGCACCTCAGGGCCTAAGTGGACTCAAGAGACATGACCTTTCTGGGCAACAACCTACTTCATCAGATGCTGTGAAAAGATGTGCAGAAAGAAAAGGCTCAACATAGAAGGGAAAGGGACAGGGGAAGGGGACAGGTAAGGAGTGGATTGACTGGAGCAATTGAGGTGGGAGGTGGACAACACCTTGAGGGCCAGTGGAGTTAACAGTCCAGGTAATGAGATCAGTTGGCTTTTCAAGGCCTTTTGTTGAGGGCTACTCTGAAGTCAGGGATGGAAGGTCCCGGGGGGCTCAACCACGGACTTTTATATGTTTCTGGAAGAAATGAACCAGTGTGTGTTCATCGTTTTACGCAGGAGCAGTCCCATCCAGCCACGGTGGGTCTGCATGGACTGCCTGGTTTATCTCAATCGATCCAGTCAACCCATTCTCTTCCCCTTTCCCTCCTATAGACGAAAAGGCTAAATTCCCCCTAAGGCGGGTTCCTGGGACAGTGTCCAACATGACGGCTGCTATCCCTTGCAGGATAGGAGGTCTTGGGGTGTCTCTCGGCGGGACTGCACAGGACCTGCCAACCTCTAAGCAAGCACATGCCATCAGAAGGGATTTGCTTTGAACTTGTTCCATCTTGAAACCTCTGGTTCTGCGGCAGACCTAAGACAGCAGGTACCAGCAAGGTTTCCATCCTGCAAACACCGACCCAGGTGATTGCTCCCATGTGTAACACTGGGGTTCAACACAAAACAAAGAGGCCGCACAACAAAGACATCTGACAGGGCCTGGGGTGCCAGCAGCTAATTACAGACAACAGGGGTCATTTAAAATGTCTCTTTTGCCCTTGATGTGGATTCGAGGTTTACAGGGCACAGACCCAGCGGGAAGAGAGGAGCAGTTCTGCTCCTGGATGTATCTTTTTTTGTTTCAACCCCAAACAACGTCCAAATAAACCCTGTGTTTAGCGTTGGCAGAAGGAAGCATGTTTCTTGTCCAAACACATAGGATAAGCTGGCGTGCTACACAGTTGTGCCAACTACGTTTCCCTGCTGTTCCTCCTTCCTTCGCACAGGGGAGGTGCATGCACGTGTTCAAAGGACACGCGTGTCTCAGGATGGCACGCGCCACGTGGCATGTTTGGACACTTCCGTTTCCAGGTCTCTCTCCTGATAGCGAAAACGCTGCATGGGACCTGGGACAGATCCCTCTGCCATCACATCTCGGGTTTTATTCCAAGTCTCATAGATATTTGCTGTTTGCCCACAAAGCCCCAGCTGCTGGAATCACGTGAGGATCGGAGAGGTCCTTCCACAGGGTTTCTAGCCCTTTTTGATGCATGGGAAAGCGCGAGGGGGTGATCTAAAAGCACCAGAAAGGCCTGGAATTCAAAAGGGAAAGCAAAGGAAACTGGGGTTATCTTTATTTTTTTCAGATCACGTGGCTTTTTAAGGCCAGCTCATCATTTTGAGATCTGACGCATGATTTCCGAGGGCTTGAGGCTGGGGACGCAGTCGGCTGCGCTCCAGTGACTCCGAGGTGGGAGGTGTAGGTACGATCCCCAGCGACACATGTGCGTCTGAAGCAATCGGTCTAGAGGGTACAACCCGGCCCTGCTTCACGTCCGAAAATGGAATCTGAGCCCCCCGGGTGAGAGTGTGCTGTGGGGCAGGGTGGGGGGGGACAAATGGTGGCACGGGCGGCCTCTGTTTGCAGCACAGCACCAAACAGGGCAGGGAGCAGAAAGCAGAGCAGTAGATAGGGCAAGGAAGACACGAGAGGGACAAGAAAGCAAAGTGCAGATAGGGCAAGGGACACGTGACAGGGAGCAGACGGCAGACCAGTGTATAGGGCAAGGAGAACAGGGCAGGGAGCAGAAAGCAGAGCAGTAGATGGGCCAGGGAGTGCAGAGCAGGAAGCAGAGCAGAAGATAGGACAAGGGACATGACAGGGAGCAGAAGGCAGAGCAGTAGACGCACGTGCCCACCCCTGCCCCTAGTGGTGTGACAGGAGGCGCCAAGCACCACGTGACCGGCACCCCCTGCGCATGCGCACTCCCGGCCCGGCCCGGCCTGGCCGCAGCAGCAGCAGCCCAGGCCCCGGCCTCCCCCGGCGGCGGCCGCGCAT